GGATTATGGAAACAGATAAGTTTAGTCTTATTTACGTTAACGTCCATAAGGTTTCGCTGAAACCAGTCCTTGACTGTAGTCGCATCACACTGTAGTGAGCCGGTGGCATTTTTATCCTGGCTGTAAAAAAAAACAAAAAACCTTGAAATGAAGCGGCTGATTGCGCAGCCAGCTCTGCTAATGATAGAGAAATCGACACACACCAAATACTTTACAAAGATTACCACAACTCTCTAAACAGTTGCATCAAAGCAAAGTGGCAATCGCAGTGGAACAATGAAAACGGCAACAAACTACACGCAATCAAACCTTTTCTAGGCGCGTGGGAGAGTGCCCGACATCGGGAGCGTTTTTATGAAGTCATACTCTGTAGGTTACGAATCGGTCATACTCGCCTCACACATGGACACCTCTTGAGCGGGGAGGACGCCCCTGAATGTGTGGACTGTGACTTACCTCTAAGTATTATGCACATACTTTTTTAATGCCCTATGTATGACCAATGCTGTCATGAACACTTCTCCCTGCTTTATAAAAGACACATTCCACTACACCTTGAACTACTACTAGGTGATGAACCGCTCATTCAATACAGTTGTGTTTTTCATTTCCTCACAAATATCGGCCTTCTACACCAACTGTGATTTTACTTTCTATTCTAAATTCATTGTCAGATTGTTTACACATATGCACATTTATTTTCATACTTTTATCATATATTTCACTACTATAACCCTTTCCTCCTCTCAAACAATAATTGCAATAGTCTAAGCTTGGCGCAATATAGCCTTATATGCTTATGCGCCATTAATCCTGACCAGTGGGACCCTTGAAGAAAAAAAGACGTGTGGCGAACGGCCGACCGACGCCCGCTGTGTTACCACTGCGGGGAGGCCGACCATGTGTTCCGGCGATTCCCCTACCGGCAGCTTGTGCTTCATGGGTTCGCACCGAACGCTCCCCGCCCAAGGAGCGGGGAACGACCGCGAGACATCGAGGAGTGCCTGCATCGTCCGCTGTCACAAGCACCCGCTTCCCCCCGGGAATCCTGTTCGCCGTCATCACGACGTCCGGCGTCGCCACTTCGTAGCTCCTGCCCGAGAGAGCCTGTCTTCCCAACCTCGTCCGGGAAACTAAGCGCGGCAAACCCTGGAGGGGGAGTTGCCGAAGACGACCGTCGGAAATATCCTTCATAAAAGTCCGAGCACACCCACACTAGCGACGACAAGCATTCGAACGATGATCCTGCAACAGTGCCCAACAACCTCAACGTTGTCATCGGCGGCCACGACGCGTCGGCACTTGTGGAACCCAGAGCAGATTATTCCGTTTTGACTGGGAAGCTCTCTCGCCGTCTTCGGAAAGTCACTATATTCTGGGAAAGTCCGCAAATACGCAATGCCGGAGGACACCTCATCACGCCTGTTGGGGGGTGCACTGATCGCGCCGAATTTCATGGAGAGACCTGTCCAGCCAAGTTTGTCGTCCTTCAGGAGTGTGCGAGCAACGCCATCCTTGGAATGGACATTCGGTGTGAATACGGTGCCATAATCGACCTCGGAGCGAACAGGTTGACAATGCAAAACCTCGTTTTACCTCCGGAGAAATAAAAAACGGCACCAGACGCCGTCCGAGTCATTGCGGACCACGTGGACCTGCCGCCGCCGTCGAGTGTTCTTGTGCCCGTCGTGACCGATGCAGTCACCTGCGGGGGAATTCTTCTGTAAGGCGACGTAAAACTGCTTCTCAGAAGAGGAGTAGGCTTCGCGAGGGGCGTAACAGAGCTGCAGGATGGAAACACTGTGGTCCCCGTGACGAACTTTCGACAGGAGGCACAGTACCTCAGAAAAGGTGCCACTGTAGGCCAACTCGAGGAACTCTGGAACGCCGCCGGGATTGGCGAGATCTCCGCCGTCTCAGCCGTACAATACACCGCCGCTGCAGCTCGACGTTAATCCGAAGCACTGTGCCACGGAACAACGAGAGCCCATGCAGAGAGCTCCTCCCCGAATACAGCGACTGCTTTGCGAAGACGTCGAAAGTGCGCTAGACAGCAGTTCGGAAAAATCGCATCTTTACCACTGAGGATGCGATCCCTAAGCATCGGCCGCCGTACCGAATCTTCCCAAAGGAAAGAGAGGCCATGCATGAACAGGTGCTAGAAATTCTCGACGATGACATCGTCCAGCTGTCAAGCATGCCGTTGGCCTCTCCAGTCATACTGGTGAAACAGAAGGACGGAATGCTTCGATTGTGCTTAGATTACCGGAGGCTCAACGCGGTGACAAAGAAAGACGTGTCTGTTCCCCCGCATCGACGACAGACTGGACCGGCTGCGACACTCCTGATACTTCTCGTCGATGGGCCTGAAAAGTGGTTAGCGGCAGATCGAAGTCGACGAACGGGACCGAGAGAAGACTGCCTTCGTCACGCCCGATGGAATGCACGGGTTGTGATGCCGTTCGGACTGTGCACGGCGCCAGTAACTCACCGGCGTGTTATGGGCAACGTACTGGCAGGCCTCAAAAGGTAGAGCTATTTCGTTCACCACCTTTTTATTTCAGCCGACTTAGACGAGCCCTTACGACGCCTTGGGGCCGATCTACAAGCAACAAGGACCTCCGGATTCGTCCCCAAGCCGACGAGGTGCCGGTTCACCTACGGCGAACTGAAGTTCCTAGGCCACGTTGTGAGAAATGAAGGTGTTCGTCCTGACCCTAAAAAGACTCGCGCCGTAGCGGAATTTCCACCGCCAACCGACAAGGGGGCCGTTTAAGACTCCTGGGACTTTGTGCGTACTACAGGCGGTTCCTTCAGGATTTCGCCAAGCTTTCTGCGCCGCTCACGCGCCTCACAAAAGACGCCGTGAACTTCGAATGGGGAGAGCAACAACAAACGTCATTCGGTGAGATAAAGCGACTCCAGTCGCCACATATTCTTGGCCACTTCGGCCAATACACAGAAACAAAAGTTCACACGGACGCCAGCAATACAGGACCCTGCGCAGTACTGGTCCAACGACAAGAGGGCACAGAGCGCGTGATCCCCTAGGCTACACAAATGTTGTCGAGAGCAGCAATATGAACCTAGGGAGGCAAATCACACCTTAACTATTGTTCGGCTCCTTCTTAGTTTGTAAAAATGGGTATAATAATTCAGTGCTTCAAAAACTCCATTTCCAAGTCTTGCCCGCATTCAGTTCAATTTGGCCTTGCAGCACAAGTATTCAGAATACAGAAAGCGGTTGTCTCATCAAACCTGTTAACCTCAGTCGCTGAAAACTTCTTTGAAAAAATCGAAAAAGTTGAAACGACACAACGAAATTCACTAATCAGAAAGAGAAACCGACGGCCGGCAGAACTGCTTTAAAAATATCCCGTCGTAACCTGAAGAATTTGGTAACTGAGAAAATATTGATGTTGGCTTTCGCCCCCCCCCCTCCCCCCCTAAAAAAATGCTTTCAGGTTTATGCCAATTATGAACGCTATCCCAAAAGCCAGTACGGCTGCACAAAAAAGCATAAAATTCATTCTATCCCATGCTGAGAAGCATTAATTTATTGCTTCCCTCTTTCATGTGGCAAACTTTACATGGGTCAAACAGGACGATAGGTTACCGACCGGTGAAGAGAACACAACGTAAGCCGCAAATTCAAGACTTGTAGGCATTCACCGTCGTGACTGCGGATGCTCAGCCCACTTCAAATACTGCTCCGTAATAATCGAGAGTCATCACCACTCACGAGAGAAATCATCGAAGCATCAAGTATCGTGAAGCAAACTGACACATGTTTTAGTAATCCTTCTATATAACTTTCCGAGAAGTTGTTATACGTAGACACTACTCGGAGGTTAAGAGTGCGTTAGACCTAGAAATCGTTTAGAAGAGGGCAAAAGACCACGCAAAATAAGAGTTGTCTTGCTTAGCAGCAGGAATGAAACAACGAAGTTTGATAACAATGTTTTTCTTTTTTGTTTTTTCTTATCTGTGTGAATAAACAAGAAAAAAAGACAAAATATAGTTGATAGCCAAGACGACGTGAGAGGTTCCTTCTTGCCGTCCGGCGTGTGTTCTGAGCATGGAAGTTGTCTTGTGCGCTGTTAGGTGTAAGGGGACACTGACAAAGTATTTATGCTCACTAAGGTGTTTGTACATGACACATGAGAGTCATCTGCCCAAAACACAATTTGAGACTCGAAATTAAATTCTTTTTTCGCCCGAAAGCCGCCGATCGAGAACTAACCGGTTTGAGTCGCGCTCACTCTCTTCTTTCATATCACGTTCCGTTCTTTATCGTTAGACACACGCACCATATATAATCCAAACCGTGGGTGATCAAAGGCAAACACACAATATTAAAAAACAAAAACAATAAGACAAAACAATAAAACAATAGCCTATTTTGTGGTGTTCAAAAGGCTTCAAATACATTGAATGAAAAAGAAAAGAGTTGCACGGAAAAACAAGAAGCGCTCCGCAATATCTGCGCAATTCTCAGCATGGCGTCGTATCGCGGGAGTCGCGGGCTGGGCGGCTGAACGAAGCTGACTAAGCAATGGCATCGGACAGCGGGCGAAGGGCCACTACTTTAAAAATGTTGTTCGCGGTACCTGTGAATCTGTCTAGCTTCGAAAGAGAAATAATTTACTTATGAAAGCAATTAGGATGTATTCCGTACGACACGCCCAACCAGCGAGCTGATTCGCACGAGACGTTACGAGACAACGATAAGTTAATTGACAATATTTTCGCCAACTGTACGATTCTAATCAATGGTCACAAGCCAGGATAAAGCATAAAAAGGTAACAAAAAAAAGCGATCTCACTTCAAGCCGATTGTGTTCTTTATGAAGATGCCGCGTGACACACTACGCAAACGATACTAAGCGCGAAGTTCACTCCGTTTAAGTGCACTAAATTAGCCCGTCTGACCGGGGTATGTGTTTCAGGCAAGCAAATGTGGGATTGAGGTGGTGCATGGTAACCAAGCAACATTTTAGTTACAGGGACATGATTCAAGGGTTTGCTCCAGAAACCGTCGAAGGTCACAATGAATCATATAAAGCTCTAGCTTGGATTGATCGCGGTGGTATGTAAACATAAATTTGTTTCCATGCACATGCAACCATTTGCATAAATTGATATATCTTCTTTTTTCAAACAGTCTATTATGCAACGAGAGTGATCTTCACAGACTACAAATACTGCACTATACTCAGAACTGAAGAATATAAAAACCGTAAGTGTCATAACCATGCTCTCATTTAGCTTGCAAGCAAAGCAATTATTGCATACCAACCACTTTTACACAACAGCAGTCGTCTATAGTACTTTAGGTAGAGACGATAAAATATGAACTGTCAGATGACGTTTTATTATCTGTGACATTCCCCTACTGAAAACAAAGCCTGTATAAATAATTATACATGTTGACCGGTTTAATTTATATGATGTTACGGATACAGGACCTGTATTCAAACTGGTATCTCGTCCACATACTGGACCTGTATTTATACAGGACCTGTATTCATACAGGACTTTTAGGAATACCAGTTTATTTGTATGCACACGGGTTTGGCTATTCCAAGGATGGCGTAGAGCTACTTAAGTGGTAAGTGCTTGGAAAGGTAATCTAAAACTGAAAGAGAAAACAAATGAGCCTACAAACAAAAAAATGTACAACGAAAATGAAAAAGAACATAAAATAAACTTACCTTTAATATTTTAATTAATGTGTCATAACGGTGCATTACATCAAATTCTACCCAAGCCTTGCCTCCGTGGTGTATATGAAGACGTGGTATGTCACTGACTAGAGGAGTCCTTAATATTTATGCTAAAAGTTACAACCGCAGCCTCCCCGAGTACCACGTTTATATGCTAGTCTTGTCTACCGTGTGCGTACCTATAGCCCTAGTTGGGCGATACTAGGGCAGGCCAAATTTTGGCTTTTCCCTTGTCTGCCACAGAAGTGCCGAAGTAAGTGCCATAATTGAGCCATAACTGTCAACGTAATACAGTACCTAATTTGGGTCTTTCGGACATGCCAAAGTTTGGGTTTTCTCTAGCCCTCCACAGGAGAGCAAAATTACGTGCCAGATGTGAGCCATAACTGCCAAAGTAAATCATAATTTGGGGATTCGGGGCTTGCAGAAGTTTGGCGTTTCTCTAACTAGTCGCTGGAGCGCCAACTATTTGCCAAAAGTGGCAGAGGCCTTCCGAAGTTTGGAATTCATTCGGTGTGCCACAAAGGTGTTCTTTCACGCGCTCCAGAGGAAAATATATTAAATAAGCATTAGAATCACGATGGTCGAATGTCATGATCTCCGTTCCCAAGCACCACGGTGATACTCGGTGGTATCGTGCCGGTACCGGCCAAAAGTCGGTTCAAATATCGCTCAAAGTTCCAGCTTTGCACAAACGCGTGATATCCGGAAGCTACTGCCGTACAGTCGTTTGGCACCGGCCTCGTGTTCGCGCAATATCGTGATAATACTCTACGATGCGTCTGCTCCGTATTGGCCGGACGTCGTTCAAGTCTGTGTTGTATAGGACGTTGCATAGAAATGGCATGCACGGACGAAAAAAACTGTGTAATTCTTCCCAGAAATGTATTAAATTGCTATCAATACACACAGCTTATTCTCGATATATTTACAAAGTTCATGTTTTTCAGTGAAACAAAGAGCAAAGTAATAAATAAAATTAACAATTTTCATGCCAGGCAAAACTCATTAATTAAAGTGCGAAAAACCGCGAAGATTGAGAGGGAAGCAGGACTACTATCAGAAACATGATTGCAGTGGACTTACTAATAAAAAAGAGACATCATGTAATCCTTGATAGAATAATAATCCGACTCGGCCAGCCCCAAGACACAGCCGAGAAAGAAGGTTGCGCATATTCAACCGAAGTCTTGTCGTCGGCGAAGAGCAGTTATTGTCGAAGCGCATCCAGCAAACACAGCTCAAGCATTCCACGGACTCCGGTGAAACAAAATGGCCAGCACCGAAACATATGCATGAGCGTATTACGGCCGTTTACGACGAAAAACAACGGCGGCGTCTGAAACGCACCAAAGCAACAGAATACTGAAGAACGCATTTCGGGAACATCACCTGCACGGCTCGACTATTTCAGTAACTTGGCAAAAGGCAAATGACCCAAGAGATTCTATAAGCGCGACAGAGAGAGTCACCTCACAAATGTTCGTCCGAGCGTTTTTGTCCCACAGGTCCTATGGGGAGAGATCACGCGTTTCGTTCCACCATGGCCGTCGCGCTCGCTGGCAGCCACACGAAGACACAAAAGCAGGTGGGGAGGATAAACAAAGGGCGAGGTCGAAGGGTCATAAGAAATGCAGCTAAGCTCCCCCTGCTATTTTGACTCACTGTATAGTTGTGTATGTAAAGCGAAGACAAAGGTAGTGTTTCGTAGCCGAGGCTTGGAATGTCACCTTTGGTTGGGGAGGAGGGGGCAGTGAAAGATTGCGAGAGAAAGGAATGCCTGGTTTGATGCTGTCAAATGCTTGAAATGAACGTTTCAAAAATATTCGTCGCCGTGATTTCATTTTAGTTCCCTCAAGTGTGAAGCGGGAGCGGTAAAACAGAGCAACGCTCGCTTCCGCTTTTTGTTACCGCTACGCTTTGACAGTGCTCAATCACAATGCAAGACACGCACGGAGCTACGCTCACTTTTGCAATACGCCACCTAATAATGGGATCTGTCGAGGAGAAGTGAGCACATCAGTCTCACGCAGCGCTTGCTGATGGCACCACTTTCGGTAACGTGGAACCAGTCACACGCCGCGTCCTGATATTGACGTGTGTACCTACGAGCGAGTACAACAGTCCGGCGCAATCTGCGTTTGCAGTCTAGTCCAGCAGCGGCAAAACATTCACCCCACCTCTGGCCTAGAGAAATCAAGAGACACCCAAAATAAAACCTAAGTTGCGAGCAGAATAAAACTTCATATCTACTTAATGAAGATGAAGACCACCCGCGTACGCCCAATACCTCATCAGCCAAACTCCCAGGTATTAAGCCTGGTTCTGGCACTTGTTTGGAGACTTTGGCCTGTAGCTGCCAGATGACAGTCGAACTATCAGGAAGTGAAGCCTAACTTTGGCACTTGTTAGGCGACTTGGGTCCGAAAATGTCAGATGACAGCCGAACTACCAGGCAGTAAGCCTAACTGGCACTCCTTTGGCGATTTCGGCCCAAAGAGGACTCATAATAGCCGAACTATCAGGGAGTGACGCCTAACTATAGCACGTCTTTGGCGAATTAGGTCCAAAAGACCCCGGCTTTTGCCAAAGAGGGTCAAATTCCGCTCAACTTTGCCCTCTACCGATTTTTAAGGTCCAAAACTCTAAGAATTTCGCCAAATATTGGCCGAGAGCTCTGGGCTACATGGGTAAACAATAGCCGGTGAAATAAAATAACTTGATTTGGATATTTTGAAAATTAAATATTAAATTAAATGAGGCGTAAATTCTATCAAGATGGACATTCGTGGATGCCTGAAAATGCGTGTACTGAAGCGGTCCTCTTTTTGTATTTATTTTCACTACACCAATGATATTGTACTCTTCTACTACCTAGCTCAACAGGTTCACGCTACAGTCGTTGATATTTCTTTGCATTAACTTATCTAAAGCGTTGCAGGCACATTTGAAATCTATAAGGAAGACAACATTGCGATCAAATTCTAACTTAGGGCGGAGATAAATGAAGCAAATTTCTCGTTCTTTCACCTAGCTGATTTAGAGCGTGGATACAAAATAACTTTCCAAGACAGTTCTGATGTAGTAAAGTCACATATACGCTCCGTGCGGGAACTATAGGGGGCGCTTTGAAAAAACACGCGTAGCGCCGCTTGCAGAGGAGCTGGCGTTCGACAGTGAGGCGCGTTCAGCAGCCTGCGGCGCCTTTTCGCATGCGAAGCTGAGGCGGTGGAAACGCGCACGGACAAAACCTTTGCTTTTTGAGCCAATACGTTGAGGGTGACGTTGCATGAGTGCTGGGGCAGACCTAAGAAGGGCATCTAGCTGTTCTCCACTTCTTTTATATCGAGTTTGAGTCGTTATTAGGGGTAATTTCTCTAGTTGCGGCCGAAAAAGGGGTTGGAGCAATTTTCCGAAAAGCAAGACAACCGCCGCCATAACTGCTCTGAGTGATAAATTTGTTTCGCTCGTCGCTGTAAACGGGACTGCTGGAACGATGCTATTTGGAGGCGAGTGAGGTATTCACTAAGTTCGTGCACGAAGTGTGCCAAGTTTCATTAAGACAGCAAGTGTGAAAGTTATGTTTCTATAACGATTAAAGAAATAAAGCAATATTGGACCCAAAATGTTGTGTTATAACCGGGCTGTGCGAAGTGCAGATTTGGGCACACAGGTGCTTGGACTTGACAGTAACATGATACAGCACTTATTATACCAAAACGAAGTGGCATAGGGAAACCAGGAGGAAATTTGGTTTGGGCGGCGTAACTGAATGTGATCCGGTTTTGACCATGAAAGGGCTGTCAAGAGGATACCACTCGGCATGGGAGGTGGAGACTCTACAGGTAGGAAGGGATTAGTGGACTGTACTCCCAATTGGAACAACTCTACGAAAGGTGGTTCTAAAGCCGAGAAAACAAAGTTGTTGGCCAACACATGGTTTGGTCGTCAAAGGCGCTTGCGGTCAGCTGTTGTGCAATAACCTGTTGCGCGAGGTGCTTATTTTCGGTACACAGGTACTTTGACATGACCGTAACCTGACACAACACTTATTATACCAAAAAGAGGTGGCATAGCGAAACCAAGTGGAAATTTAGTTTGGGCGGCGTCGCTAAATGGGAACCAGTCTTGACCGTCAAAGGCTGTCAAGATAATACCACTCATCGTGGGAGGTGCACACTTTACAGGCAAGAAGGGACCAGTGGACGGCACTTCCAGTTCGAACAACTTTGTGATAGGTGGCTCTAAAGCCGAAAAAAAATCGCTGTCTACAGAACTCGGGGTGTCAGCGTTTCCACATGAAAAAGGAGGCTGATCAAAAAAGAAAGCACACCACATAAACTTCCATACTCAATCGTCGATTCTCCAGTGATTCCGAGTTTCATTGTACTTTTCCTTAGATTCATATTTGACACTTTTTTTTTACCGTTCGAATTTTTCTAGATGAAGTACAGATTGCGTGCCATTGTTGTCCGGAAACATCATCGACACGTACGATGGGGACGGAACTTCT